CACACACACACACACACACACACACACACACACACACACGCTTCACATAATCTTACTCTTATTTGTTTACTTTGTGTTTTTAGTAAGATAGATAAGTGCTGATGACTGCGCTCTAAAAGTTCCTATTTTCGGCTGCTAAGTCTACTTTTAACTCTTTATATAAAAGAACATCATGACTCTTTATGAGAATAGTCTTTGTGCGGTAAGAACATCAGAAGAACTTACTGACTGATTCCAAGTATTGTCATGGGTTAAACAAGAGTGTTAACTTTTCCCAGTTCTATTTATAACATTATGGACAGAGTCAATAGAGAGGCAAAAGAACTCCTATTCGTTGATGACTTGGTCATCTGAGTATAAGCCCCATTAGCTTGTTAGAACATACAAATAGCCTGTAAAAGTTCCAAAAAGTACCCGATGAAAATCAGCATTGCTAAAGGAGAAGTAATATCGGTCAGCAGAAACCTAAGCCCACCGAACCTCTGAATCGACGGGACACAACTCAAACAGGTTAAGGAATTGAAATACCTGGGGAGCATGCTCACATCTGACGGAAGATTGAACAGGGAAGCTGAAATGAGGACCCTAAAAGCAAATGTAGTAAACTATCGATTGTTTCTACAACGGTATCACTACTCACTTTTAAACACGTACTGATTGAAGAAAAAAAGACAACTTATCTACAGCTTATTTCTTCCAACACTGACTTACCAATGCAAGACAAGGCGGTTAAACACAGTACCAAAAAAGAAGATCTTTGTCGGTGACATGAAAAGCCGCAAATTAATTTACTTCGCTTGGAAAGACTGTTTAAGGAATGAAAATGTCCAAAATTCAAAAGTGATGAAACCGATAATGCAACACGTAGGCCTTTAAAGAATCCGATAAGGATGTCACCAAATCAACCAGTTGCACGAGCTTACAACCCAAAAGAGTCAGGTTACAATGGCAGGGGTAGACCACACAAAACATGGCTGAATGGCCAAAATGGGGGCTGCTCAGTTTGTCTCAGGCACAGTTTGTCATATTTACAGCCATTTAACACGGTAGTTGTAACTTAAGTTTTTTTTTTATAGGCCATCTTCAAAGTGGTGGTGTAGAGATAGTCCCCCTAAAATGTCAATTCAGCTTGTGTAGTTCAATATTTCTTCTTTTTTTTGTATGCAAATCAAAGCAAATTACTCAGTAAAACTTCAACATTGAATGTTCTTTCGTTAAAATCAATTGGAAAATAAAATTCCATTCATAAAATCAATCAATCGTTCATTTACTCTTTTTGAGAGTGTCAGTGATAACTTCCATCATGCAGGGCACAGTCGAGGCGGGGTGGGCCTGTGACAAACTGGCATGCTTCCGGCCAAAAGAATAGCTTCTGAACAACAGAAGCCACCCACCAAGCCCTTGCTTGGCCAAAAACTGCACCCCCCCCCCTTCGTCATCTAAAGATACTAGAGAAAGGATAAAGTAAAGTAAGGTCAAGTTTACTTTAGCAAGACCCTTTTGAGGAATAGAAAAGAGTGACTAAGGGTTGGGCCTTGGATAAGAAGCGAATATCATTGGTAGGTTTTTTTTTCTTTACTATCTTATCAAATGCTCGAAAGAAAATCTCACATACTTCTTTGAGGGAGGGGGTCATATTCGTGAGATGAAGATAATAGCA